GGGTTCTCCATCTACAATGCGTTTTGGCACTGAAAATTAAGTTAATAATAGTAGACTCATGAATAATTCATAAATGCGACGATTCTCGCCAATAAAATTATTAAGATAGGTGATCAAATAACTTTTAAATAAATGCTTAAGGAAATCAAAGCTCAAACAACAACCAAAATCTGAACAGAAAAGTTAGATTTCAATGATTTACAAGAGTAAGCGATTTTCTGAAATTATACTAAATCTAGCCAAATAGTACTTAAACAAAACATAAGAGAAATAGGAAAAAAACTCCAGTTGTTGACAGGGCGAGAATAGATACTCAACTAAAAGTTTTTGCTTCCATTTATAAGTAAAAGTCGAGCGTTTCCTCTAATTTCCAAAAATCGATAAATAAACAATAATACCCTCTTCAGAAATAAACAATGAATCTAGCAAAAGGAACGAAGACAAATATTATAGCGTATGTATATTAAATCATTAAATAGAAGGAAAAGAACTGAAAATCACTTAAACGAAGCCTGCGCAAGCACAATTCTTAGCATTTCACCAGGCGAGTTTTTCAGCAGCTTTAATTAGATCAACGATAATAATGATTTATTGTTCGCCCCATAATGAAGATTTAGCTCCTAGTCTTGTTAGAACAAGGCCCTATATTCGCGATGGGTTATAATTTTCAGTGATAATCTTGGAAGCTGGTAGCAGCGTCATCTGTAGTCTTATTGTTTCGTGAACGTCGTAATTAACGCTGTGAGAAAGAAAGCAAATGCTGTTTGGAGACTCGACTATTTTTTAAATATTTCAACATAAAGAACAAATATTTCAAAGCATTGTTTTACTTTTTTTAACATCATCACAGTCCTCTCGTTTAGTAACTTCTATTGGTACTAAACATTATGCTTAAATTCAATAAAATAATTAAGAACATTTTTGTGACTAAGATAGGTCAACACGTATACGTCTATGTATTTAGTTAGATTTATGAATTATTTATATTTATAAATCGATGTTTTCTTCATGAACGATTTCAAATTTAATAAAAGCCATTTCAAGAATATCAATTTTCAAATTGCAACATTATTGTCCACATAGTATGTTCAGTGCATGCACCCCTTGGTCGAGGTCAGTGCGTGGGCGCACGGAACAGGCTCCGTCCTCCCACGCCAGACCCAGCGTACCTACAGGGTCACCTCAGCTGAGTCCAACAAAATCACGATAAACACATTTCTATTTGGTGAATACCATTGTTGTTTGTACAAGATACATTTTCTGAGCTTTGTTTGTTTTCAATAAAAACATTTTATATAAAATAACTAAATAGACGATTAAGGTGGGCATGGCGTGGCATTGAAATTCTTTAAAAAATGGCTTATGTTATGTGGATTTTTCTCATTTACTTGCTGGAATCAACTTAAATGAACGATTAATATTCATAATTATTAGAAAAATAAATAACATCACATCAATACTTATTTTATGGGATTCACTGCCCATAAATTTGGTGGTTATAATTGTAACAAATAATATAAACAATATTATATACACAAATCGTTTAAACTGAATGTATAATCAAACAAGCCAATATGGGTTTATGGCTCCCAATTTGTGGATAACGTTCTTTTATTATGATAAGTTCGTTAGTTCCCACAACACCTAGAGTGTTACTATCGGAGAGGTTCAATAAATGAGATTTACTTCATTTAAAGCTATTAGCATAGACGTGGGTGGGTTTCATTCAGAGCGGTAAAGTACACACCAATATAAACTAATACAATAAAATCTATTTGGGAGTTGCGTCCTTTTTAAGGCTTATCTTTAATGACGTAATGTTTGCTGTAAAAGTTAAATAAACGAAAGTGGAGAATTTTATTGGTTGATAAAAGTTTTTAAGCTTTATTGATAGTGAGGGTGTAATGGGAATATCATACAGACAAGACTCTAAAGGTAGTAAGTTAGAGGTCGTTTTGATTTTTTGTGGCTCGAGAACAGAATTGACTTAATGTTTTTGTTAAACAATTTAGTCGATTTATAATGTTTGTAATCCAAATTTTAATAGGTCTTTCAAAACCTTTTTAAATAAAGGAAAGACATGTTATGGGCATTTAAATAGAGAAAAGCGCAACTTCATACAAAAATCACTTTTTTGTTGAAATTGATTTTCGTGTCATTGACGAATATATCTTTTTTTTAAAGTATAGTGACATACCTACATTAGATTGTTGTCCACTACAATAATTTACATCAAATCCGTACATTCTGTTTGGTTATCATGTAACTGTAATTTATCGTGAGATTATGATAATACGTTTTTTCTTAAGAAAAGACTTTCGGCTCTATGTGGGCGTTCTACAGTATTTTTATCTCTTGACATTATTGGATGGGTTTAAGTTTAAATTGTGGTAAGGTATATACGAACGATCCTTTACGAACGTAGCATTGTTAAATTTCATAAATAAGAATTTTTACTTTTTTGTTTGTGGGTCGTTCATCACTTGGTGTTATTCCCTAAACCTAAAAAGTCTGGGTAAGGAGTAGATTCAAATCGATGAGGTTTCAATGAGCAATTTCGGGCCGCAAATCCAAACATCCATTCTACGTGATGGTCGGTTCGCTTCAGTTACCGCGTTATCCTAAATAGGTTTTACCTTACATTTATTGGTGAAAACAGGGATCTTCACATCCTATAAGCCGAATTTTCTATTGTCTATTGCTTTCTAACCGATAACGCATAAAACTGACAATAATTTCTTATTTATCGTACTAAACTATTATTATTAATCGTACCAAAATATGTTGAGAACTATTCCTAATATGCTCGTAGTGCTTTAAGGAAAACTCTAGCTATAAGTTTCCAAGTGAAATTGATTACTTAATGATGGTTGGAGATGAGATAGCGACCTATGATTACTTCAATATTATAGACTGCAAAAACGATCCCATTATATCTAATCGAGGTGTTGGTTTTGTAGTTTATATGAATCTTATATTCAACGATCGCAGAATAATTCTTGTATAGTGTTTTTTTTTATAAATGGCCCTTTAGCAAAAAAAGTTCAAAACTTAAACACCAATGGGAGAGAGTGAAACTTCGTCCCTTCACAAGCTCTGGGAAAGTATGAAAAGATAAACTAACCCGTTAAAACTACAAGCAATATTTTTGTATTAGATTGTTATTTCTTGAATTTCACAAATTTAAAATTTTGGAATACCCACTATAAAATTTGTATGTTTTTGCATACAGATCTTTAATATCAAAATAAATTTAAAGCGAGATAGGATTATCTTGATATAGGTTATTTCCTCTTAAATTTGAGAGTATAATACGGCTTTTTAATAAAAAAAAAGAAAAATACGGTTAAGAATATATTCGCGAATTCTAGTATAAACTGCATGTACCAAATCTGTTTCCAATACAGTGATGGGGGTGCTAGATGCGCGTGCGCACGTCACGTGGTCGTGTTCGCGACGTATCTGCGTTATTTACTGTCGACGTCCGGCGGGCACGACTGCACACCTACGTACAATACATTGTGTGTACGGAGTAACGTGGAATATGTTACGCCTCTATCTCATTTTTTAATCTTTTAGAAGTGTCTTTTTTATTCTTTGCCATTTTTTGAGGCTGACCTAACTATTTATCGGCTGTACGTACGACTGCTTTCAGTCGGCCTTAATTTTCATATTAACACGTGTATGATATAAGTTATTATATTTTTTTAATAGATTAAACGTAAAAGTAAGTAAGTACTAGTAAAGTAATTTCTTCTTCCTTCGAGAAAATATAACCTCAAGTATATATGTATAAAAAAAACCGAAAATAATTTTATACATTAGATTATATTTCAGTTTTTGTTATTTTAAAAACTCTGTATATCAAATTCATTGCATTTTCTTAATTTAACTACTGCTGTTACACTTTAGGTTTGAATCCTACAGAAGTACTTCCCTACCTAGTACTACCTAGTCAAAGCTGTTGTTTAGAATCTCCACCAAATGTTACTATTAATTATGAATGAAAAAATATAGCAGACTAATGAGGACGGATTAAATTTCTTCAATAAAGCTTGTAAATTATTGTATCAGTGTAAATTGACAAAATGATTAATCACAATGATTTGTTACATATTTTCCTTCCACTGATATACATAATTGTGAAATACAAATTTATTGTAATAGACGTTAGTAAAACCGGGGTTAGTAGCCATAAAATAGTCATCGGATAATATAGGCCGGGCTCCGAGCAAGCTATTGTACCTCGTAAATACTCTTATGAAGGTCTGTAAAGCTCATAAATACGTGCACTTATAAGCCTTAACATTATTTATATTTTTTAGTACAATATCAGTACAATAGTTCATTTAATTTAAGGTAAAACAAAAAAAATAAAAATTGCAGTCTCGCTTTAAAAAGTAGGTACACTTGGATACGTACTTTTTTATGTTTTAAAGTTTGTTGTTAATTTGATAGTTAGGCATAGGATCGACTTATTTATTATCTGTTATAAAATATATTTACGTGCAGACCACTACAACAAACTCAGTACCTACCTATTACATTTTTTTATTCTCGTCAATGATTCCATTTACAAGTTATGTCCTCATCATGAAACGTATGGGTCGTTTACTGATGGGTCTCTCTTTATAGCTTTCAAATAAGCCGGTCATCAAGGGCACAAGATAAAGCTTCAAATAAGTGCCTTTATGACCAGGTAGCCGACGAGGACGGTCGTTCAATCGGTCTGTAGTTATCTCTTGACCTTTCTTCATGTCCGACTTCTCCGTTCTTCATGTAATTAGTGCAGAGATAGCGTAGTGGTTTAAGCGGTCGCCACACCGTATTCTACTTCGCTGAGTATTGTGGGTTCGATCCCCACATGGGACGACACTTTGTGTGATCCCCAAATTGTTGTTCTAAGGTTAAGGTTTTAAAAAAATATGATAATAAACTGAGTTGAGTTTCAACATAATAATGATTAAGTTACTAATAATATATTTTTGTCATTGTTTCAGTTGCACGTCCCGATACGCAGGCGAGTTCTGCCAGCATCTGAACCCTTGTCATAGCGAGTCGAGCCCCCGTTGCCAGAACGGCGGATCTTGCCGCGTCAGGCCTGGGGTCGGAGGCGGACCTCCGTCCTTCGCCTGTGACTGTCCTCTGGGTTACAGCGCTTCACTATGTGAGATAAGAATACCGGCTGCATGTGACTCTGCACCTTGTTTAAACGGAGCAACGTGCAGACTCACTTCGTTAGATACCTATGAATGTGATTGCCCGCCTGGGTATACAGGTTAGTAAAATTTACTCTATTTATGCTAGAATTCCTATAGACCTTTCACGCTTCTTGACGCTTCATAGCCGGATACTTCCTATACACTACTTTGTAAATGTTAGTTTTAGTTATTCATGGTTTGTTGCACAAATATCAAGATCTAAAGTTTAAGAAAGTAAGCTTCTCGGTTTACCATTTCGTAAAAGAAGTATTTCTATCACCTTTCACACTCGTAAATGGTAAAAAGTACATGCAAAGATATTATAATTTTAAATTTTTTTGCAGTGAAGAGACTTTATGGCGATTTATCCTCTTGCTTTTAACTTTATGTTTCTTCTCTATTCGCAAATAAGAACAATATTTTAACTAAGGTAGTAAGTTATACGAGTAAAATAGCTTTTTTACTTTTTGATTTCCCTAACAAGAGGTTTATATATTTCTTGTTTATTTATATTGCCAACTTCGTTAGAATCTATGTAATTATCCATTTAATAATCTCAACTAGAAATAGCTTAGATCTTATCAATTATAATTGTCTGTACGTCTGTTAGTCCTTTATGCGTAATTGGTTACGCATTTTGATGACTAATAAACAGGTGTTTGCTGTGATATTTATGAATTATTCCAAAGCTTGTTGTATGTGGAATTGATTCTAACCTTTGTTCTATACAATTGACAGCAGTTCTGACCATGTTTATAGTGCATATCCTGTGTCTTTATTGGCTTCGTTAGGGCTGTGTGTAACATTAATAATATTTATTTTATTAAAAACGTCATATCTAAGAATAAAATGTTTATCTCATAAGATGACGCTAAATATAACTTGAGTACATCTAATTGTAGGAAAAGAAAAGCTGCTAAATAAACCTAGAGCGACTCAATATAATTTCTTTTCAAACTTTGAAGGGTTATTAATTTAACATTTTACGTATAAAAATACATGTAATTTAGATAACTGTTTAGATAACGTGTAGCTGATGTGTTAAGTATATGCAGTTGGCTTCCAATTTACTGTGTATGTACTTTACTTTTAGGGGGGAAATGGCCTGCCACGCTTTTGTGTTTTTTTTGAAATGTTTGCAACACTGGCGAAAAACTTTGCCTTATATTGCGATAAAGAAAAAGCGTTCGTGTCAGCTCTAAGAACTCCCTGCAACTCATTACATGAAGTATGGAGATGGAGACTGATTGTCTATTCTTTATAGCATGTTAGTATTGTTTATTGATCATAAATTATCACGCGTTTCGTTCTGTACGCATAAGTGAAGATATACCTTCAAATTTCAAACGCAATTTATGAGTTTTAAGTAGACTTTTAAGTGTATAGTAATTTTTTCCCAAAGCAAACACACCTGCTGAAATAAAAACTAATATTCAAAAGCCTCACTGATTTACGATGAACCAATAATAGACAAAACAACCACACACTAAATTATATCAGTAAATCTTAAATCTCCATCAACTTTGGAATAGTTAATTTACTTGGAACGATATTAATAAAAGTCAATATAAATCCGTCATTTGAACGTGATAGACTTTTTAATATCTATCATGACATAAAATAAATTATGAATATAAAAGGCGGGCGTTTTAAAGACAAAATTTGATCAATCAGAATCTCGACAGAAACTAGTTCTAGACTTATGTTGTCGTCATATTTATTATGTCATAAAAGCTATGAGTAAAGGATAATAAAGAAAAAAAAAACAGATTGCTTTCGCGATGGTTTGATCATTTTTTAAGGGTGAACGAAGAGCCTAGAGTTTATAAGAGTTTATAAGGCCCCTGTAATAGGGCGAGAGTGGCCTGAAAGACATATGCTGAGGGCCTAGTGTTAGTTTAGTTCACATCAACTCACTCTCGACGGTGACCGCGTTGTGTGGGCCAATCACAACGCCGAACGCAGTTGCCATCGACACAAGAGAACAGCACTGCAAAGAGAAGGAAAACTTGACACAAACCCTATACCAACTCGTCTGGCCAGCGTGTTATAGTAAGCCACAACCTCCTTTCTAAGGAGAGGCATATGGTCTATTAAAGGCTGTTGATGTGATGTGTACAAGAAAAATAAATTTAGTAAAACTAAAAAACACGCAAGATGGCTGGCAGGAGCTGGATGCGAGAAGCCCAAAATCTATCTAAGTGGCGTGCAATCGGTGAGGCATATGTAAAGCAGTGGACTGCGATAGGCTGATGATAAAAACACGCAAGAAGGAGGCCAAGGTTGCCTATGTCCAGCAGTGGACTATTAAAGGTTGTTGATGATGCCCGCTGATCAGAAGCACGAGCTGTATGTCAGGATCGAAGCGAATGGCGTTTTATTGTCTGTCCCTACCCCGGACGAGAATTAGGCGGAAATGTATGTATGACGTATGAGGGACTGTTTTCTCTCAAACATTGTATTTATAACTACCGTTTCTTATTTGTATGCTAATTCCTATTGTATTCTACATACGGTCGACACTTTAATTCGTATTATGATGGGAATGGTGCAATAAACTTATTTCGTTCTTGGGTGTTAACGCTGTTATCAATTTATCTCTGTTGTATAGAATTGATTTCTGTTTGTAATTGAAAAGTTAACTGCATAGTGAAATTGCATTTCTGTTATTATTTTTTGATGGTCAAATAATGAGTTTATGATGATTCTACTATTCAATATATTGGTGTTGTCTATTATAAAACTTAAAGCCAGAAAAATGACCATCAAATCAAGTTTTTGGATTTTAATGTTGTAACATTTATAGCTGTAATCATTTTCATTAATTGATTAGCCTGTTAGGCCAGTGGCTCCTAAATAACTGCTAAGCCACAGGTAGTGATTCCATTCTCACTCAAGCAAATGATTTGGACATAATATTTCGGACATCTGACACACAACACCATTTAGTTTCAAACTAAGCAGAGCTTGTACTATGAAAACTAGATTGACTGATAGAATACTTATATACTTTTTTAACAAATACATACTTATCATTCCTAGAAAATACCCAAACTCCGAAACAAATATTGCCAGATCATTTGGTCCGACCCCAAATCGAACCCGATACCTCAGATATCAGACAGCAGTCGCATACGATACCACTGCACCATGATGAGCACGATTATTTTTGTTCAATGTGTGTGTGTGTATGTAATTTATTGATAGATTTTTTTAAACAGGCTCTTTTTAGAAGTTTGATTTGGGTGAAAATATATCTATTGATGATGGTTGTGAATAAAACCCATTCATTAGATATGTCTAGAGGCGAGATATATGTTGTTGTAATTTCTATAAATTCCTTAAGTTGCTTCTCAAAGATTCCATAACCATAGTTTTGAATTTATAGAATTGAATTAACAACCGCTATTAACTCATCGTAAATATTTAAAAACAAGTTAATTTCTCTCCATAAACAGCAGTTGCGTAATCAACAGATACTTGCCGAGATAAATTTCTGTAATTAGATTTGCAGAATATGGACAGGTGTGAACGAAACTAAAAAGCATTATAAGGTTTTAACTTATACATCAGTATCATACATACATTATCTGTTTTTTTTTGGGATTACTTTAATGTCTGAGATGGGTCATGTCTAATTTTGTTGCCGAATGATTGCTTAAAGCAAACCTTCTTTGGAAATGTAATCTTATTCAGATGGAACAAGTACAAAAGGTAAATAAGCTTCAAAAAATCGTTCCAAACATCAACAGCCTATAATAGTAAACTGCTAGACATAGGCCTCTCTTTAGAAAGGAGGTTTTGGCCTACTATACCACGCTGGCCAGACGGGTTGGTATAGGATTTTTTTTAAGTTTTCCTTCTTTTGCAATGCTTTTGTCCTGTACAGTTTGTTCCCTTAGTCGGCTCTTACGACACCCACGGGATTAATAGGGGTGGTGACATTCCGTATTCTTCATCCGTCACCACACGGATATTTTCCAATATAGATACAGATATCGTTCCAAACATTTAGGGTAAAATATACGCAAGTCTCGCATTGAAAAAGACTGAGGTTACCGTAGGTCTAAGAAAAAAGAGTATTTTACCCGTATTTCTCTACCCAGTAACGGTACTCATAAAAGGATGACGAATTTATGCATATGCCTTCTCCAAGCCTTTTTCCCTAACTTTTTCAAGTCTGCTATGATACGGCTGAACTTCGATTTTCTACGCGAAGCCTCCACGACCCATGTACTAGGCGATATCGAAGTTCTGGAGAAAGACTGTTGTCGTACTTTTTAGGGCTCCAACTAACCGTAACGATTGCCACAGATGTTCTTATGGCAACCGGGACCGACGGCCTAAAGTGATCTCCGAGGCACGGGGATCTCAATGTGTTAAGAATTCATCCATAGACTGACCTGGCTAGGGTTGCTTAACTGAGCAATGTGTTAACCTACTCGGTTACCACTTAGCCACGAGCCCCTCTTAATTATACCTATTCCTATAATTTACTCTATAGGTAGGCACATCTAATATAATTTATTATTTTGCTTTCACGATTGTATTACATACAATATTATCTATACTTTATCAGTATTAAACAGAAAGTTTCTCATAACATCTAACTGTAATTTAGTTATGTTTAGCGGACAAATAGTAATGTCCAGCACATCTATTCGTTAATAATTTATTCACTGCGCTCCCTACATTCTTGGTCTTAAATATTTAATTTAATTTGTATGTTAAGTATTAGACGACAGTATGTCATATGTAATGGTGTAAAACTCGTTGTTTTTGGTCGAAGATGTATGAGGTGGAAACGTTTAATGACCTACGAAGTGAATAATTTAGTTAAATTTTAACAAAATAAATTATAATTAATATCTGATTTTTATGGATAAAAATTTTATGGATACATCCATGGCAGATGTTTAATTCAAAGCTTTCTCTTAGATTTGTCTTTTATGCTGCAGAAAAAGGTTTGTTTAAATTAAGTACGTATATGATAGCTGATGTCACTGTCCTAGTGGTCACTCCAATCACAGTACGCGCATAATCTTACGATATACGTATACTAAATTGACGAAAATACTTAGTAGCAGCAGATTGGTTTTATCGCTTAAGTCTGCAATGATTTTAAAACTTTTTGCTTTTTCATTCGCGCTTTTCTTCACCTTGTACCAAAACAGAAGGCCTGTATAGACTCGTAGCACCATAAAAAAAGGAATTTATAAAACAAAAACTTTTGCTACGCCGCCTCTCTTGTGTAAACTGCCCTCTGTGGACGCGCAATTATGGTACGTTTATTAAATTTTTTTGCTCGTTAAATTTTAATACGACAACCTTTAAAATTACTTTATAATTGTTCTATTTTTGCAATTTAATAAACGACATATTTATATATTTAACATGCCAACTACAAACAACCGAAGGACACAAAAAAGAAAACAGTTAGTGTGTCTATGCAACTAGTCAATTAAAGATATACCGGTAGCTTACCTACTTCTACCGAAAACCGAATCTAATGACGAACAATTTTCAATTAACCATATATTTCTAATAATAATTTACACGGAAAATTACATACCTTGGTATCTCACGGGAGCTCCCAGTGAAAGTAGAAAGCCAACAATCTGTCATTTCCTGAATTATATGCTAAGTTGTAATACTTATATTTGGAACCGTGTCATTTTGTTAATTCAATGTGTGAATCAAGCCAATTTGGTTTACAATTGTTTATGCAATTACTTTGTTTGTGGTTTACCGTTGTTACGGCGTTTTGTTTTTTAAATGTGGGATTAGATACGTGTTTATTAACTATATGTATTTTAACGTTTACTGAAATATAGTGGCATTGAACCCCTAACTAATATTTCTTTCCTGTGTTATACTTTTAAGTTTAAAAAAGAGGACGTTCTCAATTCGACAATTTTTTGATACTTGTGAACAGATTGCTATATTATTATTTTCTTACCTGAATTCGTTGAATCTGTGAATTCTGAAATCTGTGATTGGAAAGTTATAGAACATATAAATAATGTAAATCTTATTTCAGTAAATGTTAACTATTATTTAGTTCTAGCAAATTAGTTCTTCAACTACACAGTGTTATTTATTTAAGAATAACATGAGCTTTTTATGATAAAATAACTATCAAAGATGCCACAATAGCGCTAGAGATATTTTTAACTGGTCTCCAGTTGAACAATTAACTTGGAGAATTAGAAAAACGGGTAGAATGCTGTGTAGGCGTTATAAACCTGTCTGTGTTTTTTTTATGTTAGAGGGGGCAGACGAGCAGACAGATCACCTGGGTGACCATAGCCGCCCATGTTTGAATGCGTTTCGCCATCGTCAATTCTATTATAAGGATTTAAGTACAAGACAGTAGATGTGAATACTTCGACACTAGTTAAAAACACTTTTCATTACAAATAATATCTATTTTTGTAACAGATTGTTAATCTGTACCAACTGAACGTCAATAGTAACTCATTTTAAATATTTATATTTGCTTATAATAAGCTAATTAAGACACAAAACCCACCAAGAGTTTTAACTCATAATAAATTCTGTAGTTAATTTTAACAGTACAACCGCTTGCTTGTTTGCCACCCCAAGTGTAGAACAGTAGAACATCCCCATCTCTATGCAGTCAAAGCGCCACATAAAAATGTTATTTGTCGTATCTAAACTCGTTCATGGAGATCGGAACGTGTCCATAATATTAATTAAGATCATTCTACCAATCAGGCCAAATTCTTTCGTTTAGCTCACTGTTAGTCACACCAGCATAGTTACTCAATCATCTATTTTGAGATAACCGGTCACAATATTAATACTGTGCGATACATTACCGAAAACTTTTGACAGAGTTTAACTGTGCCTAAACAGAGTTTGACTGCACGGATGGCGTAGTGGTTAAAGCGGTCGCCACGCCGCTTTCTATTACGCCGAGTGTTGTGGGTTCAAACCCCACATGGACCAACACTTTGTGTGATCCACAAATTGTTGTTCTGAGTCTGGGTGTACTTTGTGTCCGTTTCATGTATGTTTGTAAAGTCCCCCGCGACACAGGATTTATTCCTAGTGCGGGAGTTGTCTTTTTTAAAGAAAAAAAAAAAGCAATTTTTTGCCACCTAAGTGACAAAAAAAAATTATGTTGAGCTCGTAATAACCTAACCGTATGGACCTTAGAGACTACAAAGAACAGACCTAAACGCATGACTTATCGTCGGCGCATAGGAATAAGAATGTTTTAAATAGGTTCACTTAAAACTTAGCCACATACGACATGTGAGGTCTTAATTTTATAGAGAAGTCAGATATAAGTACAGTATTTATTTCATTAAGCTCCAGATTTGATATCTTAATTTTTTTATTCAATAAGTACAGACAACAGATGTGCAAGTCCAATTATAACTGTACAAAAGTTTCAAACAAACAAGGCCAGTTTTCAATATAGGTTAAGGTTGGATTTAAATGTAAATTTGTACAGAAAAACATTTTAAGTAGAGAAAAAAAAACTACAAATAAAAAAAAGGATGTCTACAAACTTCAATTAACTACAAAGGTCTTATAGGGTTGTAATGTAATGTAGCAAGAAAGATTTGAAAGATCTAAATTTGTAATCTTACGCATACTTACTACGAGTACTATAAGTTTTACAGTTAGCTAAAAGCGTATTTCGCAAATCATATTTAACATCTTATGTAATCAACCGCTTTACCTTTAGCCGTAATTTTCCAATCGAGAAATCCAATGACAAATTGCCCGTTCAACACGCGAAACGTTTATGCAAAATAAAAAATAAACTGTATCAAATTACGAAAGTGAATTCCACGCTTCCTAATATAGAGTTTCAACACCAATGAAGATGTAGGATAAAGATTATAACACGATAATGATTTTGAAATTCTACTAAATTATTCAACTCACAATTAGTATTAGAAAAACGGTACAGAATCGCCATAAAGAACTATTAATGACACGGAGACGTGTGGGTAATTTACGTAAATTATAACAACTGACAAACTCATATTGCCATTCCAACGCCCGTTTCTTTTAAAATCTGTTTAGCAGCTTTAATGAGAGGTTTATCAACCTTTATGGGTGATATATGTGTGTTAATATTTGTTTATTTGTTCACTCGTCCGGGTCCTCACATAACAAATAAATTCTGACATTTATGTGGTCTATATATTTTATTGATTGTGACGAAGTTACGTGTTTTATATGATTTAGACTGTTGTTTTTAAAAAAAAATAAGAATTTAGTTCTCACTTCATGAATCTCGAAAGAATCTAACAAGAGATAATCTACATAATTTATTAGAATCAAAACTCAATATTAACATAAACTATAAATATTTTAAATAAAACGTATGATTTTTACATCTTGTAGTCATCATTAAAAAATAATCTGTTTTAATTTTTGCAGGAAACGAATGCTCACATGAAGACCATTGCGCGTCCCAACCATGCCGCAATGGGGGTCGTTGCGTAGCTGATAACAGCACAAATGCTGGGTACTCCTGCGCCTGTCCCCCTGGCTTCACCGGCTCCCGTTGTACAGAAGACGTGGTCGAATGTTCTAGTGGGCCCGGACCGTGTCACCACGGCCGGTGTTTCAACACCCACGGGTCGTATACTTGTGTTTGTGAGCCAGGGTATACAGGAAGGGACTGTGACGCGGAGTATGTACCGTGTGAGCCATCCCCGTGCCATCACGATGGAAGGTGCACACCGTTGGATCAGCTGAGATACGAGTGCGATTGTCCACCAGGTAAGTCTCTTTTACTCATTGTAGAATTAAATATCCTGTGATGTTGTTACTCTACTACTACTAATTATACTAATTTTGTTAAATTATACGGTTAGGGAAAAATAAAATAGGAAGCATTTCTCTACGTAACCAATAGAGTATATTACGTGTTTAAAAAAAACGAGGTGTATTACTTACCTATATAGTTCTTGACGGGTGGAATTTAAAGTCAGTCTTAACAAAATGTTACAACCTACACACCTGTTAGAACTTCACTTATTGTAATAAAAAATCTACCTGAACATCCCTGAGACTAACTTCTGTATGGCTATTGAAGTAACCATCAACATTATATACAATAAAGTTGTTAATCACCAAGCTGGGCAGGATTATTCAATCAGTATGGGACGGTACAATGTTGGCCGGTAGAACAGGTTGCCATAAGTGGCAGTAGTTTGGCTTGATACATTCAACTATCTTAGGCTCACGTCTCGTCGTTAGAGGAGACTTTATTAGGGCCTATTTCTGTAGAATACATGGGTATTTTATTATCAAAGATAAAATTCATTCGGTGGCAAATTCCAGTTAAAATCCATAAATATTTTTCTGAAGTTTTTTAAATCTGTGCATTTGTAATAAAGCTGAAGAGTTTTTTGTTTGTTTATTTAACATATTTCCTACTTAATGGTTTCAAAAAATATAATAATATATAATAAATAATTTAAATATATAATATTGTAAATGCAAAAGTGTGTCTCTCTGTTACCTCTTTACGCTTAAACCGCAAAACCGATTTAGATGAAATTTGGTATAGATATATTTTGAGTCACGGGAAAAGACATAGAATAGATTTTATCCCAGAAATCAGCCTAGAGGGGGTAGAAATTTGTATAGGGAATCCATTACCGATTAAGATGAAATTTGGTATTCAACTAGTTTGATTCTTGAGAAAGGACATATGCTACTTTTTACCGCAATAACCGACATACACGCGGGCGGAGCCGCCTGCAAAAGCTAGTAATATGATATATGATAGCCAGATTCGTGAGGATTAATATAGGCTATTAATATTCAGAGGTACATTCCTCAGATAGATTTAAATATTGATTACAATAAAATAGATATTCACTTAAAACTTTGTACATAATATCGCGTTCTCATTTCACTAACTGCACCAATCTACTTCAGGCTGTATTTGAATTAACGTACTGAGACACCTTATTAAACGCTTGAGAACTGGCACCCAACTTTCCATAGAAGTTCTCATACCAATAAAGTGTATGAACTTGTTTAGGGTGAGGTTATATTAATGCGCAGTTATCTAGACCGGTGCCGGCCGTGACCGCAATTCTAACACAACCAGCACTTCCACACAAATAATTATTAGTATTCGACCTCTATTGATGTATCCTGAGGTTTTTAAGGACTACATCTTGTAACGGCTCATCGTACAGACATGTTTTTCATAGAAAAAAATATACATTTACTTAGTAATAGTAATGAAATTTCAAGGTTTTAATAAAACTTTAATTTTTTGAGAAAGTGTTCTGAAAAAGTTTTGATGGAGCTCATTTGATATCTATCTTTGTAAAATCTGTAAAATTCCTAAAAACAGTTATTTAAAGACTTTTGTACTGAAAAGATCAGTAAACTAAAATACACTGTTTCCGGCTTAATGGAATCTATCCTTTACAATGGCTAGCATTTTGTGTCGCCCTCGACTAGTATTCATATCAAATCAAATCAAATCTTTATTTGCCAACCAAGTGTACATCAATGATCTTATAATATTATATGTAGTAGTCCCAACTCAGAAGCCTTTTCCAGGCATTGCAAAAATTTGAGAGAGAACGCAGAAGAATAAAACAATACAAATTAAGTGACTCAATAGTACAGTATAACAATCGAATAAAGCATGCAAAAATACGAAGGCACCCGTATATAATTAGATAGTAGAATAAAGTATTCATATTTATTATACGATTAGCCAAAATTTATGCCCCTGCTATAAATATGTAAACCATGTGATTTGAAGTCATTTATTTTGCTACTAATACTACGTATCGCATGGCGGTCGAATTTCAATCGTTTTTTATGACGTGTTCTTTTTTTTTGACTTGTATACATTGAACTGTCATTGTGACCAGACGCAAAGAAGAGCGGTGTCTTAAGTTTAGCATGTGTATATGTGGCATCGTAGTTCTTTCTGAACGATGCGCCGATGAACCGATTTTTATTTTTGAAAGGATTTTAAAGGATTCTTCCCTGTTATTCAAGAAAATCTGTTAGACTGTTCACAATTCATCAGCTTTATAGTAATAATAATAATAATATTCTACCACATTCACACAACGCCATCTAGTCCCAAACTAAGCAGAGCTTGTACTATGGGTACTAGACAACTGATATAAATACATATTTACTTTTTTATGTTGTTGTAAATACATACATATTATACATAGGAACACCCAGACCAAATCAAACATTAAATGTTCATGCACATAAATGTTTGACTTGAGCGGGGATCGAACCAGCGACCTTTGGAATAGAAGTCCGTTACACAAACCACTACGCCATTCGTCGTTTCGTCTTCGAATCGTTGACGCGATTTTTCACATCAATATATACATAACTACTAACATAATAATATGTAGGTGTATATAAATTCGAGTTCAGTATCGTTTTCGGTCTACAATTTAATTTCAATGCCTACAAAATTAATTGAAACTTTAATGTAATATTTAAAAAAGCAATCACTATATCCACTGACGCAAACTGCATTTTCTTAGACCAACCGCCAGTGTTGCGTGAGGCACCATAAATAATTTACGTTAATTGTAGTAAACCTAGTGATTTAATGTGTCTAGTTTGTGCAACTTTTAAGATGGGACTGTGATGACTTAATGATAACAAGCTATATTAAGTTGTGGCGCCAGTAACGGCGAACTTAAACAGTTATACGAGTATAAGTTAAGAATTTTTATACAACTAAGTAATCAAACAAACACATGGCCCTCCTGGCTGTAAGGGTTTACTTATAAACGCACACATCTGCGATCTCACTGCGCGTTTTTGACCCTGCAATTGAAAATGTCCTTTTTTTAAGTTTGGTCTTTTTGTAAAATGTTTTACTGCGTTTCCTGACTAAGATACATTCAGTTCTAACCTATTACATGATAGCTGTACATGAATATATGCTTTTTAAACGTCTATTAATGTTCCTGCGGATTCTTAGCATGCTATTTTTGGCGGTTTCGTCTGAAAAACAACAAACTGACATCATAAGATAAAGTTAATAAAGCAGGAACAGGCTTAATTCTTGAATAGGGCACAAATATTATTTTTCTACTATTTTACGCAGAGACATTACCCACTGTAATGTAATCTTACTTATTGTACGACCTAAGGTCTTGTAAATAAACTTTAAAACAAAAATATCACGCAATAAGATTTCAAAGATCAATATAACATCTCGAAATCACGCAGGCAATCAAGCGCACACACATAATAGCTCGTTATTTACATCGCAGCATTCACAGAGATCGTCTGAAAGTCGACTAAGGCCCGGGGCGACCACGACTTCGATAGGAAAGTACCGCATTGATGTGAACTAGTCTTGTGCGTACCAAAGCTTATTATCACTAGACATGTTGTTTTATGATTCTTAGTTATAGAACGTTAGCCTTACGGCAAGAACCTAAACCCTGCTCAAAAGTAAACGTATTTTAATCTCGAACAGATACCGACATTACTTCCTCTGACAAAGAGGTTTTCAATTCTTTTCTGTATTTTCGTTATTTGTGAACAGTTTTATAAATACTTATTAGATTGGTTGTACAAAAGAATTAAGTTGTGTGATTTTAGGTACAAAATTAACAAAAAAAACATTAAACCAAGACAGTAAAAATTTATCATAATTTAGAAGCATTGAAGTTTGTTATATGTAATTTTATTATAATATAATTAAATTCAGCAGATTTTTATTTTGCATTGTTTGTGTGTAAAACAATATAACATGTTGTAAATTAAAACAGGTTTTTAGCCAATTTATTTTCCTAATTATGTATTTTTACAAAAACTATTAGGTAGTCGCTATTGTCGATACAAATTATTCCTGAGACAACATTACCACACTCAATTACAACTATACTTTATGTAATTTGCGAAAAAGTTAAACCGCAGTCACGCAACGGTTACGTCACTACTTTTATGGTGCGCTGCGCAGACGCATCTAGGATTCATTAGCTTCATTATGCTTTTGCAAAATAGTGGTGTGCAGCTTACAACACTAGGTGTACCGAGAAATGTTCCATATTTCTTGCAATTAACATAAAATGATGTTTGTGAGAAAAAATTGCGCAACTAGGAAATGATAAATTTAATAAAGCTTTTTGTAATTGTTTGTGACTGCAATATGTAATTGCGTTTGTTATTTAGTTATATAAATACATTATATGTAATTAATTTAGAAGTTTTTTAATTATAACTATACATTTTTTAGTTTTTTCGCGATGAAGAAAAATACTTTTTTTAAGCATCACATTCAAGTGAGAAGAATCTGAATAGTAGATGCCGTTTGCCAGGTATATTTAATTATAATATAAGCTTTGTGTATGTATAAATTCAGTTCTAATCCGTTCAGCAGTAAATGCCTTTAATTTTAAAAACAAACGAATGCATCGTCACAGAAGATAGCTAGATAGGATAGATAGAAGATAGGTATTAAGTTAAGTAAAATATTGTAATTTAGTATACACCAGTTTATATTAAACTGAAAATATTACGAAAAGTATTTAAAGCAAAAAATCCTAAAATACCCAAATCGGCTGTTTGTTTGCAATATCTATATTTGTCAAAACAAAAAACGCTTTTACAGAGATGCAATAATCTTATTTCAAAAGTCCAAAAATGAGTCATAGTTTTAACCAAAAAATAAATTTGGTAAATAGCCACTTGGACTTAAGAAACATTATCCATTAAATACTTAAACCAACCATTAGACGTCACGCTATGCCCAAGTGTGGGAAAAGCATTACTTATCTAATTAACGCCTGAACTCGAACATTAATGTATTTGTTTATTACTTCAACTCCAGTGAAATGAGTTCAGGTTTGACAATGAGACCTTATTCAAGCAAGGAAAGGTATTAAAAAGTTATTTTAAAGTTAGGAAGGACAAGTGTTAGTTCCCTCCGTCCAGTCTAGGTGATAGTGCATGTCGGACCATGTACCAATTAATACACTAATCAATGTGACAACTTTTATGGCGCGATACAAGATTAGTAACTTTAACCCATTTAGGATTGTCTTTTCTGGAGGGTGCTGAAGTTACGTGTTTTTAAACCAACTTCATCCTCATCAACAGCCTTTTATAGTCCAATGCTGTACATAGGCCTCTCCTAGAGTTTGGTTTTTTTAGAAGGTTTTGACCAGCTATACCACCCGGCCTGACGGTTTGGTATAGGGTTTGCGTCAAGTTTTCCTTCTCTTTGCAGTGCTGGTATCGGTGCTGGTCGGCTCTTCCGACACCCGTGGGATCAATCGGGGTGTTGATACTTCATATTCAAATCAAGTCAAATCGCAAACCTCAAACCGATCACAATGAATTTATTTAATTAATTATAATTCTTCTAGTAGAACGACTCTGAAATTATATTTTGAGTGAGTTAATTGATATTTACATAGATTCAGTTAAACATAGAGCAACATTGTTGTCGACAAATAAACAAATCTAACATGACCTAGCGTGTCCACTTTTAATACTTATACTAGATTAGCTCACGCATCGCTGCGTCTCATGATAACATATTTATTAAAGCAATTTGCATCGTAATAAATGTAACTATAATTGGTATCAGTTCCATATTCATGGTCAGTATTGTCACTGTTGACGTTCCGCCCATTATGTAGTACACTTTTTATAGCAACTGTGTGATCCGTAACGATTATTGTATTACAGTTAATATCAATGAAAGCAAGTCCCTTCATTCCTCATTAAATAAAATTTACACAATCAATCGTCAACCGTAAACCCCTTTTTATTTTTTGAACTTCCTCCATAAAGAATCAACCTATTAATAACCGCATTAGTTCATAAAAATGAAGCATTAAACACATGTCTGAAACATGTGTCTTTTATAATAACAGCTTCCGTACAGGCTCTTGCTATGGGAATGTGGGATGAAAAAGTCCCACACTACCGTCTTATGTAAATCTGATTGACAATTTAGATTCCTAATATTTGAGAGTTGTATTTGTACTTGCACTTGGTAAATGGGGCCGGAACTCACAGAGAAAACGTATTAATAAATAGTATTAATTATGTTTCGAACTAATTAGAGTAATTGAAATGTAAGGTAAGATAATATAAATGCACCTGCGACAGTTCATAATGAAAGTTGATTTAAAACCCGGTCTCTGTGAACGCATTCAAGAAGCTGGCCCATTACATTCAACCACCAACTTATAAGAAAATATTATTTTTTTATTTTGTTAAGTAATGAATCTATAATGTCATGCTTAGGAGGCAACGAAGTATGTAAATTTTCTTAATGGAAATTTAATTTGAATACATAGTTTCTCAACAAAAATAGTCAAAACGATACATTTTTATATACAATAAAACTTATAGAATTTTGTTACCAAACACATAAAAGTAGACGGCGTGAAGATAAAATCTGCGTTTGCGCATCTCAAGTGACAGTTTTATAGTGATTTCCATATTACTTTATTGTCCAAAACTCTTTCCAATCTTATTAAGAGCTAATTAGGATTAAATAATTTAATTATACTGAGATTGGAATAGTGAAAAACTAAGTTTTTATCGCTATTTTTATTGCTTATTATTTCACGTGTACCGTTGATAGATATATATTTTACGATTTGTTTCTTAATTTTAGTATAAATGCATTTATGCATTCAAAATAACGGATAGACTAAGCTTTTACTGCTATTTAATATCTTTCATATAAAGAAGATTAACCTTAAAAGAACGGCCCCGCCTTCTCGTTCATTTAATGCAAAATATACATCAAATTGTTTACACTGAACTTTCCGTACGTCTGCTTTGAGTTTAGGACCAAAAAAAGGCGTTGAAAGATTTAAAGCGAGGCGCCTCAACATAAACAGTTGCACATGTGGTATTCGTGGGAACCCACCGGTTAATGATTATAATGAGATTCTTAACACGCTAATCGAACCAGTAGTTCTCTGTTTGTATGAAACCGTGAACCAATACAGTCCATATCGCCGCCTGTGAATTTGTCTATTGTAGCAGACTAATTCTGAATTGCTGTTAATAGATTTTATTGTTTCTTTTTTCTTGGCATATTTAGCATCTTCAAGCATCTTCTAACAGGTGTTGAAACAAAATCAATCTTCGAAGTAAAAAAGATATGAATAATCTCATCTTTTAATTAATCTCGACTGATTAACTGTCGAGAACTAATTTAGAACTAATCTCTCCTTTGGTACGTGCATGTCGCGATTATAATATGTTAAATGGTAAAATAGACCAACTGGATATTTTCCACAATTCCTTTATACACCACTGCCACTTTCATTGTTTAAGCTTATCTGTGTTTATACACAGATAAGCTTTAAGATTAGCTTTTTTTTTTAAGTACTATATTTTTGTTGATTTTCGTTCACTTTAATCTTAATCTTGCTACTTGAATGTGTGTATATACATATAATGATGTATACTGTGCATGCCTGTAATTGGAAGTATCCTTTATATTGAATTGTATTTTGAACAATGTTGTATATGTACACTGTTAGCGTGCCAATAATAAATAAATAAAATCTCGTCTTAAGCACTAGTCTTTAGCTTTTACGTGAAGTGGTGCTTTTTCTCCTACGTATGTAGTATCACCTAGAAATTTATCGTTATTTTTTGTCACCCCTATATCCCATTCAAAATAATAAATGATATCAGTTTGCGCGTCTGGATGTTATAATAATAACACTTAAGACAGAAATAGTCGCCAGATGTTGTACTTAAAGTCTATCAAAATTTAAGAGTATAGATGTCTAATTAATTTGGGAACCGTTTGTTATCTTAATTCTCATGGTGAGTCATAGTCTAGGAAATGTAAAAAGCTCTGTTCTCATATTTGAAATAAACAGTTTTACTTTCAACGGTACTTTTTCAACGCTTGAATAATATAAGTGCAATATAATTGAGTAACAGAATTGACCGACATATCATAGAATTTAACAACTTATATGATGTACCTCTTCCGTTACAAGAACTCCCAATTAATTTATTATGTGGTTATAAGACCGATTGGCCGATAGCTTAAGTAGATATCTAAGATAAGTTCTTAGTCTGTTCTGTAATTGGAATTGAGGATCTCTCTGTATGGTTCGGTATGAAAAGTCATGCTCTCTGCTTAGGTTATCATTGATCTCTAGTTCAAGTATTTACTAGTTATTTATTTTCCAGGTTACCGCGGTCAGAACTGCGAGATCGACATCGACGACTGTCCCGGTCACTTGTGCCAGAATGGTGCGACCTGCGTTGATGGGCTTAACTCCTACACTTGCGAGTGCCCGCCCACTTTCACCGGAACCCTTTGCGAGACCGATGTGGATGAATGCGCGCTCAGGTGAGCTTATTGTTTTATTGTTTCTTTGATATTGATAATAATAATGAATATGGTCATATTTCCTTTTAAAACTCATTTAATATATAAGAAGAAAACAATGGAATGCTTCAAGGTATGATTATCGAGCCTGTTATGTTTCGTTGAAATAGTAGCAAGCAACTTAAAAAGTAAGTTTCACATCCAGTATAATTTAAATATGGGTAAACTAAATTTGTAAAATGACTACTCTATTCAAGAGTACAAAGTATTTTTTAAGGACTACAATTCGCAAGCTTACTCCCAGAAAGTCCATTTAACTGACAACGTAGTTGAAAGACATTCACTGACAACAGGATAGATTCTTCATGAATAGTATTGACAGCAAGAGACAGAATAATGGTGTTTATGACTTTATAAAGCTTTAATGCCGATTGCCTGTTTTGAAATCCTAGTTTTAATGTAATAATTTGATTACGACGATTAGCGTATCTTAGACCAGATACCGTGTCTCATTCCGCGGTTGACTATTGCAGTCAACAAAGTCAAAAGCCTTGTTCAAATCATAAAAAAAAATTACCGTTGCTTTCACAAAACTGTTAAGTGAATTTTAACAATTATTTAAATTCGTAATAGATATATTATTAAAGTGGAGCCAATATTATTAGTTACCGACTGTTTTCAAATATCAAAAGAAATAACTATTTGCCGACAGACGAAGCAATGAGTCAGACGATCAATTTTTAGCGACAATTAAACTTTCATACGCAAACAATTTCAAGTGTACAGTTACATCTCGCCAATTTGTTGAATCATGTATCCTTCTTGAGCATCGAAGCTGTCTATAATTGACAATGAAATATAATCCCCACTCCTAAAGTGCTATAGGATTTTGAACTTTATGCCTTAGATTTAAAAGGTCGGTCAATTTCTGAAGCGGCAAATATTCGTGGGAGATATTATTCGCTTGTCAAGGAATCGAATCGGCGCGATCCAATTAAGCCGGCAGCGCCGAAGCCAACTATGCCTGGAACGGTTTGGAAAAAAGAATAAGATTTATTCTTTAATACGATCACACAAGACTGATATTTGGAAGGTTTATACCTACATACCTACACGACGTGTGTAATTCAATATCAGACGCAATCTTTGATGACGCTGCACATGCGGCTATGTATTTTTTGCACAAATTTTAAAAGAAATCAACAAGTTAATGAAATGAGTTATTGTCAGATGTTATTATAAACGAGCTAATGATATCTGTATTGAGATAGTTTTTTGTATGATACAATATCACCGCAGCCGTGTGTCGATGTATTGGGCGTTAATTACAAAATAACTAGTCAAGAAGTCAACGGCCTCGCGTCTCAAGCGACGACTGAACAGCGGAACTCACTTCATTCTTCCTGTTTACTTTGTTCATGTGTTTGTACTTTTAATGTTTTCATTGTGTTCCTTTCTAATTTTATAATATTTCCTTTATGTCTATTGTCTTTTTCTGTTTCATCTGATACTCCAAGCTGTAATTGTTTAAAATATTCGTTCTTGACATTTTGTTTTTTTTTTCTTGACAGGGAATTTTCATTTAGTTTAGACTTGTTTGCGAAATTATACTTTATTTTAATCAAGTCCTCTTCATCTCGATTTCATTTACCTGTTCTCCCCCGCTAATTCTAACAACTTGATGTAGGATCAACGTCCTGAGTCGCCATGTGCGATGCGCCGTCGTACCTACATTAATTGTTAGCTAATGATTGCCTACAAAAACCCAAGATGTTCTACGTTCGCACGGTAATAGTAAGCTTCGTTTCGTATAATACCTCCGCGGCTGTACATGCAAATGACTTTACTCTTCCTAGTAATTGACTTTTAAACAAAATTAGTAATGAGCAGTCACATGTTAGATCTTGCTTTCAATTTCTAACAATGACTGATGATGATTTTTTAATATATTTTTGTTATGTTTTTTAAGTTCTTATCTCTTTTTTCTAAAATTCTTGGTTAATTTTGTTAACCTGCCTATTATCATGACTTCTATTAGTTGTATAAATGTTTTCGAATTCTTTTTTCAAAATCTTAAATTCTCAAATTACTGATAATAAAAAAAGCAAAGATAACCTTTTCAAAATAACTAAAATAAGAGTACTGATGACTGTAAATTAGAATGCCTAAAAGTAACAAATTCTACCGGCAATGAGTCCTGATTTGATTGTTATGGATATGTATTTAAAAAATCATAATTTGTAATTATGTTGAACAGTGGTCGTATACTTTTTAGCTCATCAATACTGGTTGGCTATAAATATAAAAATATAAACCAATACATACTCTTTTATTTCTTTATCTTCTATCTATTCTTGGGTCTTAATCCGACCACCTAGTGGGCCGTCCGAAGCTGATCAATTAAGGAAAAAGAAATCTTTACTAAAAATCCAAACAATTAAAAAAAAATACACTTCAAGCTTTGAAAATCTTTTTCGAGTCTTCTAATAAATTGTTTAAGTCATAGAAATAATATGATTATAAAAATGAATATTATTACCCATTTCGTTTGAATTAATCGTTTCTATACAAACTATTAATATTTCGACCATCTATGGATATGTTAGACCTCCCGCTGCAAGGCCCTCTTACGAAACCAAACAATCTGTAGTGCCACCCATACTCCTTTGCCATAGTTCTTATTACGACCTAATAGTGTTCAACTTCGTTTATGAAATCCTTTTCCATGTGTAAATTTCACATTGTATGGACACACTTTAGCTCAGCCCTGTAGCTTGTGTTGTGTTTTACTTACAGCGTCTACTAAAGTGTTCCTTTCGATTAACCCATTTAGAACTCTATTTCTTGAAAAATTAAGTCTACTTCTTGTTAAATTATAGTGTCATGGGATAGTGACACAGTATCCGAGCCTGCTGGTTCATAAAACGCGCCAGATAAATGCGTGCCCAATATCAAATTACGTTTTGGTGCCTTTAGTTTTTTTTACGTTTGGGTTTGGAGCTCTGTGAAGTGGAAGAAATATATAAGGTAGTATTAGAATATGATCGTGTTGGTTTAAGCTGGCTTTTTAGACCTATGACATAATATTTAGTTTTCAACTATTGCATAGTTGTAGTATTGCGTAGATTTTGCTATATTAAAATATCCTTTTATAGTGTGCATTTATTATGATTGTAATTAAAGTTGGTTATTCAGATCATGAGTTATTGTAGTCGTAGTGCAAAGCATAAAGGCAAGCTTTATTGCCCAGAGCGTTCTGTTCTATCCTATTCAACTTGTCCATCGATTTGAATACGAATGTAGATGAACTTTCCTCCATTCCATTTTATTAGTTCTTTGTCTAAACTATCAAATTCATTACTAAGGATATATTCTTCATCAATCAAGCGTCTGTCGCCTAAGGGATTACCGACTGTGTCTAATACCTATCAAGTGTCAGTATGATAGATGACAGGTGACGTTTTGTTCAAACGTGTACTGGACAGTAATAGGTGGCGTTGCTATCGCATTTCTTTCTTTGAGTTGTTTTAGGTGCGTTTGGCTTTTGTTTTGTAAACGTGATTTAGACGTTTTTAGAGAGATAGAAAATTCCTTATTTGTACGCCGCTTTCACAAGAGTCATATCACATCTTATATATAAAATTCTCGTGTCACAATGTTCGTGCCCGTACTCCTCCGAAACGGCTTGACCGATTCTCATGAAATTTTGGTTGCACATCGGGTAGGTCTGAGAATCGGCCAACATCTATTTTTCATACCCCTAAATGGTAAGGGTGACCCATCCCTATTTTTTTTTTGTTTTGCAATACAACGTTTGCCGGGTCAGCTAGTAATAATATACAATTATCATATACGTGATGTACAAAGGGCGGCCTTACTTTTGAGGATTTCTTCCGGGCAACCTTAAGATGGATCGAAATGTGTCAGAGAGCAGACAGACAGTGTTGTTGAAGGTGCGTTTCACTTTTCAGAATATGACAATTTCTACTAATGGTTTTTTTTCCTATATTAAATGGGTAAATAGGAACTTAGATAGTAAAAGGTAGTTAGAAAAGTTTTTGTTTATGTGTTTTATACTTATGTACTTGATACTTGAAGCGCTTAAAAGTCATGGTCATGTAATTTCATGAAAATATTTTCGTACTTATAAATTTACAAATGTGTGCAATCATAGACAGGGGTCCCCGTACACTCTAAGCATTCCAAATTTCTTTCATATTTTAAGGTAGGGAGTAAATAATTGTCGTGATCCTTTACGTAAGTGAAATACTCTTATGACATTTGTGAGTACGTACAAGTTTAATTTTATTAAAACTAAATGCCCAAAGGCTTACATAATATAATAACTTTTAATCAACTTACTTTCTACTGCGTATGGATGAAATTAAATACAAAATTATTCATAATCTTTCGAGTTTGGTTAATTATCCGTACGTGTGCTTTTTAATTAATGAATAGTTGAGACATTAATGAAAACAAATGATAATGATTCTCTTTATAGCTTTTGGAAATGATCGGTTTATACATAAAAGGTACTGGATAAAAAAACATGTATTAGGATTTATTGGAGACAAAGCAACAGTAGCTTTTTGACACCGTGCCGCTCACTACATTCAGGCTTGTAGTTCTCCGTTAATTAGGAAATTCGACTTAGGACTTTCAGTCTAAATGTTGCATCTAAGGGCCTTGTGTTTTATTTAAAAACCTACAATATAATCGGAGGACGATGTCAGGCACAGTGCGAAGTGGAAGAAGTACACGAAGAGGGCTGATCCCACCACCATGTGGGACGAATAGTCAGGAAGAGAGACAGAGAGAAAGAGAGAGAGAGAGAATATGAGTTTCTTCAAAATCCTATAGAAAATATTTTACCTCATCAGCACGAATGACGTTTCTGGTACTTCTAACCTCCATATACTACCATAACCTTTTATTTGCCCTTGTAAAGAGTTTATTCTTTTTTTACTACGCCAATGCGGTGGCAATCAAGTACAAAGGCCCGGCTGATATTAAGCGGTTAC